TTAAAATCTCCCAGCGAAAAATTTATCTTTTATATTTTCAAATTAAAAAGAATATTTATATCTCTATTTGAAAGTTTGTCAACTAAGCCTGGAATTTCCAACGCATATCTTTTTACCATTACATTATTTATACGACTCAGAATTTTTTATACTCTTAAATATGCAAACAGAGATTTGAAATCCTCGAAAAAGTCAGACAAAACCAAAAGAAAAATTAAAATTTTGTCCCATTTATAAATATTATTGATTTTTTTAATCATATTTTTGACTGCTTTATAAAAAAAGTTATTTTTCTTTGTAGTTTTATTTCTTAACTATTCCAATGGTCCAACTAACGTTTTTTCGTAATCACAATATATAAATTATTATCATGGTCCAACAAACGCGCACCTTAAGCCGAAACCGGAATCGCCTTTGTGAGGGAGCCGGTAAAGATGCCGTTGCGTACATTCGTATCTGGTCTAGGTAATCTGTGCCATGGGTACAGCACATCACGATAAGGACAGCGCTCCGCTGGTGACGTATAATCCATCGCATGTGTCCATCTCTTGCTAAGCGATATTATCGTTGTCCTTGTTTTTCGCATCATAATGAGAAAGGAAACAACAGAGGCACACATGTACTGTGCCCATCTTCCACTTAATTTAGGAATTCTCGGAACGTCGCTCAACGACCGGTCGTCCAGTGTCGTGCCAACGCGATTTGCGCTGAATATTAGATAAAATCTTAATAGGCATTGAGGAAAATATAAAATATGTAAGTAATTTTTTTGTTTGTTTATTATACTAGGGCACGTGCCCAAATGCCCTTACGGGCAAACCGCCACTGCTCTTAACCGGCTTGTTTTGAAATAAACTCTTTAGTTACAAATAGCTACTAAAAAAAAAATAAAAAAAATACATAAAAACTTAGTGTAGACTGTATCACAAAAAATATAAATCGATTGATTATAAAGAAAAATATTTTTTATTCAAAACAGAAATATAATTTTTAATGAATTTATTAGACAAAAGCTAAAATCAGAACAACTGCAAATAAAGAAATTATTCTACACATGTTTTACTGATACAGGACAATTTCTACTATATAATTCACTGTAGAAAATGTTAGAGATGATTAAGAGATTCATAAAGCTTTAATTTTAAATTTGATAACAAAAGATCTCTGTTTCGGTAAAGATGCCAAAGACCATTGTATGCACTTTGACATAAATAACACATTCTAGAAAATCTATTCTATGTCCTAAATTGTTATAGTGAAACATTTTGTTAATTTTAAGAATGTTTCGAAAATAACGAATACATTTTTTCGGGCCTAATGTTATTATCTACAGCAGATTTTTCAGAATTAAATTTTAAGTCATGGGCTAAAGAAATATTAAATAAGAAATCTAAATCGGTATTACTTAATTTTTTTCTGATAATCACCTCGTGATTTTGTCTATTGCAAATTTCTTCCTTTTTAAACATTGCAGAATTTTTTAGAGCACACTGTAAGATCAATAATTATTTCAGGTTCTCAAATAAGATTAAACCAAACGCTTTTCTTGAAGAAAAGATAATTTAGAATTTGTGAGAAAATCGGTTTTAAAGTTCCGAAAACTTATCAGTTAGATATCCGAAAAATATGAAATTAAATTCCCAGGAAATTTCCAAAACAAATCTCAATATTACCCTTATGAAAAAATGAAAATTATTTTTGAACCCCAATACATTTAGACGACCTAAGGAAGTGTCTGCATGCGGTTGCATGTTTCCCTCAGACGATGCTATACAGTAAGTAGTTTATTGAAAAATTGAAAATTTTCTGAGACGCGAGGTTGGATTCGAAATCTTATATTATTCATCTTGCCAATTCGGAAATTTCTGACTATGTCAGTGATAGCCTAATTGGAAGAGCGGCTGTGCGTAGAACAGGATTTTTTTAAATTTTCATTATTTCGTAGGGATAATATTGGGATTTGGTTGGGAATTTCCTGGGAAATTATTCTAAAATTTATTTAAATAAATTCCCTAATATCGCTGAATAATTAGATAAACTAGAGTTACAGATTTTTGAATTTCTATTACGACTGATGAGGCCACTGTCTGCAAATTGTAAAAAAAATCATATGGCATAAATAAAAACAGTTTTATACCGCCGGCACTACGGGACTTAATGGTAGTATATCTGGAGTAAGATAAAGCTTCGGACCTATTAAGATAAAGAGGAATGTGTTAGTCACGGATTTCCCACGACAATTCTTGTTGGGGTTAGAGATAAAAGCAGTGACGTAGAAATGTAAGATTAAACGCGAGATATACGACTAAAACAATGGAGTCACTGGACTGAATAGAAAAAAGAACAATCCTATGGGTTTTGAGACGTGAACGGAGTAGAAATAAATAAGATTTCCATCAGATGACCGGATCAAGACGGGAGCTTTGGGCTAGTAAAACAACGTCGTAGGAAACAATATTCCTAAATAGTTTAATAACAACAATAATAAAAATGTTTTAGTCCAGGTTCTTAAATTTTATTTTCGATTGTGAAGTTCCAAGTCTGCTATTTACAATATTATCCAAAAAAATCTTTGGGAGTATTAAAACACATTCAATCTATCCCCAATTTCTTCTTCATTCATTCATTTTCTGTTTCAATTATAAGTTGCAAAACGCCTTCTGATTCCATACAATATGAAAAATGTTCTTCGTATTTTTATTTTACTATTTATCCCGAACTTTTATTTGTAAGGATAGATTATTCAATTCATTAAAAAAAGTGTTTTCACTTTTTCACTTTTTTTTTATTTGAAAGCCATAAATCAAGCTCTTAAAACTCCAACAGGGCGAAGTGTACTATAGAAGTAAATCGATTATTTACTGATAAAATGTCGCAGGTTTAAAAAGGAACGACTAATCAATCACGTAAATGCATGGAATTACCAATTTTGCTTGGTGATAAATGTAACATTGTAAATATCACGAAATCGTAGTTTGAAAGTTACAATTTAACCGGACAATATCTAGTTAGCTTTGAACATTTTTCTAGAATAAAATCGAAAGCGGTTACCATGACGACTATGATGTTTGACGTATTATTAAAAAAAAACATGCCAGATAAATATTTCAATTTCAATCATTTGAATCGGTCGGTGATCAAATGTATTGTAGCGTCTGTTTATTTTAAACAACAGTTTATTTGTTAATAATTATTTGAACACATTTTTATTTTAAAACAATACTATTCAAATTTATATATTTCGAATGTCTTTAAATTGTTCACTATTTATCTTCACAACTCTATGTATACGACTGACTGGTCCGTATTCTTCCACCAATATTTATGTACACACTGAAAATTCTGGTGAAAATATAGAATGCTCCCGCCAAAACTAGAAACATTATCACGTTCGTTCTGGAAGGTAATCTTAAGGGGTTTAATTATGTATGATAATCGAACAAGTTGAGTCTCAAAGGCTAAATAAGACAGGGACGTAGAGGATTAGAGCATGACTGCATAATGAAATGGCTCGCATTACAGTATTGTTTATGAAAGCAGACAATGTGATGGATTCACTTATGGTAGTAGTTTACATATTTCCCAACAATACAGAAATAACTAATTTTTGTTTTATTACAATTATAATGATTTATTCAATAATTCGATATCTTCCACCAATAAATTACACACTTCTTCCCTTTGACAGACTCAAAATAATCCGAAAATAGTTGCAACCTCAACCATCAAGTATTTTTCATCTGTTGCCTAGTAATACACCTTTCAACTTATTCATACAGCTATACTTGACTTTATCATTAAAACTTTACTACACTAGTTTAACGATATTCTTAGTTTTTATTTTTCTTCTTGTTTCCCTTGGGTAACAACTCTAAGGTTGTTATTTTGCCGACTCTACAATATCAATGGAAACACCCAAATCATCATTTTAAATAGGAGCTACTTTTGTTACCGAGGCAAACATTTTAAACAGTAAATAGCAAGGAGGTATCTAATACTAAAATAACATATGAAGACCTATTGCATAAAAAAAAACACAGTAAATTAAACTAAAAATCAGCTAGAAACGTGACATGATTCAAGATATTCGGTATAAAATAAACCATTTTTATAATCTCCATTCGTTAGCTTAGGCCCTTATAAGTATGTAATTTAAACTATTTTGAAATTAATTCTAATCTACATAAATTATAATAATTTTATTTAGAGTCTGCAACATTATCTAATTTCACAAAAAAATGCTTGGCAAATCTCTAAGGGGCCATCCATAAATTATGACACACATTTCATGATTTTTTGATCCCCTTGTTCTTGTTCTTGTCATAGCGGGTCACAGCTGGTCACATTTGTGAGACGTCCCCTCCCTAGTGTGAAATTATTAAATTAAAACAGCATTTCAGCAATTAGTTTTATTACCATTTTTTAGTAAAATCAACATCAAGTCTAATATTTTAATACTTAGATATATATTAGATGTTGAAAAATATTCAAACCGATATAAAGTAGAGGATATTCAATTTAAAAAAAAAACATTTTTTATTTGCCTTACAATTTAAAAATATTTTTAAAGACTGCCTTTCTAAAATCCATATTACTTTTATTTTAAACTTGTTAGCGTACCTTCAACTTTACTCAAATTGAAGTATCGAGCACTAATGGGTAGAATGTTGCAATATTGGAGAGAAAAATAATAAAAGTGAAAGAATGGTTAAAAATTAATAGAAAATAGAAAAAAAATTGAGTTAATAAAGCACATAACATCTTGAAACAAACCTTTGTATCGGCTTGAAATATACCCTCCTTAGCGCTCCTTTTTATTAAGAGACGCACCGAACAAATTGTCAAACGAAACCCACCAATTACGTTCTACATTCGCCGACATACCTCGATTACGTTACGTCATTAGATACCCGACGTTTCGACCTTAATTGCCTCTTTCAACTAAAATTGTCGCGAGACCTAACCTTACATAGTAATCTCGTGTGAAAAATCGATCAGAAATGGTAATTGTGACGCAACCAGATAGCGCTTGTGCCCAAATTGCCACAGAGTGAGTCTAATTGCCCCGAGATTTACCATAGTTACGATGTTAACTGTCTTAAAGAAACGGGAAATGAGTAATGGCGAATGTGTGTTCGTATATACAGGGTCTCTAAATCCATTCTACCTATCTAAATAGGCCATCGGCGTTCTATGTAGCTCTCAGGGCAGTGTAGATGGGATCTAAAAAATATCGGTATGTACTTATGTTTTTCTTCTAAACTACGCGTTACTGAAGATGTGCAAAATAGAATCTGTAGACCGTTCATTAGGATGGCTACTACTGTATCCGAATATCTACAAAAAGTGTTGAGCGTTCATACGGTCGCGAAGAAATATTATAACCGGTTAGATCTACTTTTGATGATACTTAGGCAAATGTGGTCGTGACCATCACATTATTTATGAGGTCGAAGATTTAGACATTATTAGTCAATTAGGTTAGAGTTGTATGCATTTGTTTTATTTAATTATAATTAATAATTAAATATATAAAAATGTAGTATATCGTCTACTACATTTTTTAGAATCCGGAAATGCGGTAAGTAGTACATTAAGATAACTGCATGTTTATTATTATGCGCGTATATGTTAAAAAAAATGAAAATAATGTTAAAACTGTCCGGATTATTTAAGTTATTGAAATGTACATATTTAGTTTATCTTTAATTTGCTGGTATTTTCGATTTCAATAAGGCAGCAGAATATTGATTTTTACTACAGTACATTTTGTAAATCTATGTGTCACAAATGTTTAATTAACGCCTCACAACAATGATAAAGTCGTGTAATAATTTTAAGTAAGTATAGTCCTGTTATGTAATAATTGAACCCTTTTTTATTTACACCCTTCGCTTACACATTAATCCGTTTGTAGCGTGGTGGCACTGCAGCCTACTGTTTATTGTACCACCATTTAAAGGTTCTACTACTTTTCCATTCATCAATTCGTTCACTTATTCACCATCATTCATTCCACGTTATACGCTAGTCTGACGACAAGGCTCATGGTGGAACGTCCCAGCTGTGATTACGGCTTAACTGTTGCTATAACGTGTATGCACTTATCTCGCTATGATACACTCAATATGTTTCTATCAAGAAACATACAATAAAAATATAATTTAGTTTCTAATCAATAGAAATGAAATTATAGCTGCATTATTAAACTTATAGATAGTAAAAGCTGATGACGATAGACAATATAATGTTTTATCAAAGCACTTTTTCTAGTTTTTCGAGTAACTGATGTTTCTATATAAGACACGACCAGTGACAACTCAAGCCAATACTTTAACAAGACTATAAAACATTAATTTTTTTTAACACTAAAGTTTATAATGCATTCGAGAGACGTTAAATTGGTGGTTCCCACCTTATCAAGACTGAGGCCTACAAGGATAAACTCGTAGCGTAAAAAAAACGAAAAATGATTTGATTTGAAATGAAAGACCGAAAGCCGATAGTAGTATAAAGACGCTGAATTTTAATGTTTGTGAAGCATTGCCATTAATAAGGTTAAACCACGTAATGATTGTCACAACCCTTGATTTTTAAAACCATTCCGTATCGCTTTTTGATTAGGGTCTACAACTTGTTAGAATAATTTCTCTATTAATAATTGGCCCCTTTACCTCTTAAGCCTGCTCATGTAAAATATTTGGGCTCTATATTTATCTAAAAATATTTGATCCCTTTTAAATCTGACCATGTAATTATATGATCCATTTGACCCTTTAGCCTGCTCATGTAAAAACATTTGTTTTCGTTGCCCCCTTAGACCTGTCCATGCAAAAATATTTGCGCCCTTGCCCCTTAAGCCTACCTACGCATAAAAAATTAAAATGTTTTCATTTTGGTAAAGAACCCCGCACAAATCTTATGGAAATTGGCTCCCGGTCAAATTGGCTGAAATTTGGATATGTTGTTCGTTTCGGAATCCTGAGCAAAAGTCTAAATGCGCATGAGGCTCAATTTTGCTTATTTTGGCTCCTACGGAGCTCCAAAGCTCCACAGATTGACCATTATTTACTACTTAAACAGGCAATCTCCTTGAAAGTTTAGTATTTTCTGCGTTAAAAAAGAAGTACCTTCTTATGTTTTCGGGGTCGCTGCATTCAAATCCAATGCCAATACAATAATAATATTGACAGTTGACAGCTGTCAACTAGCTGTCAATTAACAAGCAATAATCAAAATGGATAAAACCTACGTCTAAGCATTGAATAATGGTTCCGTTAATGTTGAGGATTTATATTTTGTGTATAGTTCTATAAAATACACCAACATAACAGATTCCGAATATGATTTTATGTTTTTTATTTTGACTAATTTAAGGGAGATTCATACGTCGTCACATACAATTTTTTTGTTTTTTTTTGACAATACATTCCGTGACGAAATTATGGCATCTTCTTTTACTCTTGGTGGAGTTAAAAACATTTCATTTTCGGAATCCGTTTTTTCTTACTTTTTAGTAAAACATTTTACAAATAATTTTGCAAATAAAATTTGACGTTTTAATTTGAGTTAATGTCTATCAGATGACAGCCACCACCTACTTATAAATTGTCTAAAAATTGCAATCTGTAAATCAATGCTTAAAATAAGCCCCACAAGAAATGCATGCGATTTTATAAGAACATTGATTGAACCGAATATTCTGAAAATCAATAGGGTTCTAAGTTAGAAGCAATTATCCAAAAAAATCAAAACTGCATGTCAATCGGATCTTTCCTTCTAGAGTTATCGTGCCGGCACACATACGCACAGACGAATTTTTTTTTGCATTTTCGGATTCAGAATGATCGGAACCGTGAAAAAAAGTCTTAAAAAGTGAGGATAAGAAAATTGTTTCGTCTGCACGAATGCAATCCTGAGGCCCCATAGGAAGGGCCTCAGTTAAATGTACCTAAGACTTTGAAGATAAATAAATGTTCAAATATTCTAAAATGTGCTACTTACTATAACGTAGATAAAATAATCCATACCTGTAACAGAAAAATATAAAATTTAGACTAAATAATAATAGTCATAACCCAAAATGAAAATACTATGTCCTACACCTACATGGTTCTAATATAAAACATTTTGTAATGGGCTGTCCACCCGTAGTACCTTTAAGATACCTTAATCTGTTATCATGTGCTTGATAACTCTAGCCTCATTAAAACGAAATTTACTTTTCTTCTGTTAGAATGGCCGCCATATTGGTTATATTATATCTAAACTCAACTCGTTTAACTTTCAAAGAAAGAAAAACATTCTTATTACAAGTCTTATTAAATAAAGAAAATGCATATATTTGCCTCAATAAGAACTCTACAGTAGTTTACAAAGCAAGCCTTTTTAACGGTGGTATACATTTAAATTTTTTCTTGTGATTCCCGGAGGAAGGTTACAATTTTAAAATTTACTCCTGAAATGACTATGCCTTTATATATAAGCATATTTTAAAATATATTTCCAATTAAATAAAAAAAGATCACTTCATCTTGACGTTGCTTTCACTTTCCATCGTTTCCATCTTTCATTCCAAAGGAATTCCTGTTATTTGTCTTATAATAAGAAGTTAACGTTAAGTATATATTTTAGACAAATAAAAAGAAACATTACAAGACAATAGTCTATACAGGGTGTCTCATTAAGAATAGGGCACAGAACAACTAAAGATTTTCTGATTAAAAATAAGACGATTAAACGAAACATGCTATATAAAATATTACTGGTTTCCGAAATACAGGGTGTTAAAGTTGAAAATTCAAAAGTTAATGGCTATAGTTTTTTTTTCTCAGTATAATTTTACTAAATTCGGTAAAAATTTGTTATAACATACACCTATCAACAAAACAATCAGTTAAATAAACTTTTCCAGTGGCGTACGGCATGGGTAAGTAACACCTTCATCTCATCTAAATTTTACACCGCTATTCAAAAACTTATTTGGACCATAATTTTGAATTTTTTTTTAAAGTTTTTAAATAAATCATGTACTCTTGTTGGGTATTTATGAAAAAATCCAAAATAAAAAATGAATTAAAATTCACCTATGAGTGTGAGTATCTCAAAAAACAATCACTTTATGAGTTCTCAACAAAAGTACATGATTTCTTTAAAACCCATCAAAGAATGTAAAAGTCCAAATACGTTTTTGGACAGTGGCGTAAAATTTAGAGGAGCTGAAGATGTTACTTATCCATGCCGTACGCAACTGGCAAAGTTTATTTAACTGATAGTTGTATCTTATGACAGCAAAAATGTTTACCGGATTTAGTAAAATTATACTGAGAAATAAAAAAATTATAGCCATTAATAATTTTTGAATTTTCAAATTTAACACTCTATTTTGGAAACTTATCTAAGGCGGGTTTCGTTTAATCGTGTTATTTTTAATCAGAAAATCAGTTGTGTTGTGTCCCATTCTTAATACGACACCCAGTATATGTTTTCTCTTTAATATAAATCTAATATCAAAATAATTGGATACATTTTGCTTAAAAATAGAGACATTGAAAAGTTGTATTCAGTTTCTAATGGTAACGTAAAATGGTCTAGTTTGCAAATTTTTTCCATGCCTTATATTGGATCTAGTTTATAAAAGCAACATTAGTCACCTTTATCTTTACACTGTCTCATCTTTAGGAGAAAGTTTAATAAATGAGGACTCGACATGAAAGGTGAAGAACATAATTAAATTATTGTGAGGAGTGTTCATTTCCACACATTACCTTATGAAAGAAATTAATCTAATGAATAGATACTTAATACAAAAATAAAAATTCAGTTTTAATCAGCGTCAATTTATCATTTATAAACACTATAGGATTCGAGCGATCATTGCTAGTAGAACCAAAGTGTTTTCTGTGCTTAATAGTAGGGAGATATTACTTGGAAATTAAACTTTGAGTAACAGTAGGTTAACCAAAAATTCTGCACGACAGGCGTTATGACCTCGAACATGAAAATGTAAGATATCAAAATCTAGACTGAAATGTGAACTGAATATGCAGT